GCTCGGGGCCCTTTGGGATCATCACCACCGTGATCTACAGCATTGCCGACGCTAAGTGGTTGGAGGACAGCATCTGGATTTCTGAATTCTTGCTCGTACTCTTGACGCTGGCGTACTTCTTCTCCATGGCGAGAGAAACGACGCCCGTCGATATGACGTCACGCGTCTCAGAGATTGTTGATGTGCGCTCGGACATCTTGTTTGACCTCTTGGTCATGTTGACGAGGGTAGCCGATGCGGTCCCCCTAGCTCCCCCCTAGAGGGGTTGTCCATCATCATGATTCTGGTTGGCGAAACGACTTCTGCTGGGGTGGCGATTAGATCTTGGGGTGGCGGATCGGCGAATCGAGCTCGTCGAGTATGAAGGTCTCTGATCCTGACAGATCTCGTTGACCTAGCAGTGCGCCACTTTAAGCATGGTGGTGACATTGGCGACCTCGGGTGTCTGCTCGAGCCGGGCGAGCTCGTTGGCAGCCACGACCAAGTTGGTGCTTGGGGTCTTGTAGATGTTGTGGCCATCAACATGGACAATTTCGTTGTCAAGGTTGCATTGGAGTGGGCGTGGCCTTCCTTGCAAGTCGAGCTGATCATTGCGAGCAGCCTCGGCTAGCACAAGGGCAGCCTCATTTGCTTGGCGCTGCGCACGGTTGACGTTCCTGTTGACGCGAGTGGCACGGTCCTCCTCAGTTTCCCCATCCTGTGGGGGGCTATCGACGCTGACATTGAAAATCCCGCCTCCACAGAAGGGCGGGAAAGGAGGTTGTATGGCGGTGGTTTCGGCGACGGTTTCCGTAGAGCCCTAGGACTCAGAGTCTGGATTTTCCTCTAGGATGGTTTGGAGGGATGCTTCGGGGCATCGGCCGACGTGTAGCATGTTGACAGTCGGCGAGAGCTGGTCGGCGAGAGGATGGATATCTCCCACCTGATCGGTGAATTTGCCCCTTAGGGCATCTTGATAGGTGGCGACGACGCTGGTGAGCCCAAAGGGTAGGGCCATAACCCCTGGAGTTTCCTGATCAGCCTTTGATAGATCTGAATCGGAGGGTGGTCGGCGCTGAACTAGAGTGGTCAGAGCTGATTCTGCGATGGAGAGACAATCGGTGAGCTTTCTGGCCAACCTAATCGATGGATGCGATCAGATCGTCGTTGTTGATCTACCTCCTTGGGTAGCGGGGGAGCGGGCGGCGAATTGTCGGCAAAGACGACCTCGGAGGTGGTTCCAAGATCGGATCTGCAGTCACAGGTGTTGGGGTGATCGGCGCAGTATCGATCTGCACCGGCTCGATGAGCTCTCTGACTCCGTTAGCGTTGATGATTAGTGTCTAGTGTGCTCGACGGAATTGTCCGATGTAGCTCACTTTCGAGGTGCTTAGTGTCTAGTGTATGACGAGCGCCTCCGAAAATGTGTTATTTCAGACGGTTCTACCACAAAGACGTAGGTACTCTCTAGTGGAGGGGGTGAACTTTAGTAACAAATCTCTGTGTGCTTACTCATGTATTGTTGGGATTTCACTTACACCATGTGTAAAATCTATTGCAAGTAATTAGCTCAAAAGTTCTCTAAGATGAAAATACAACTTTTGATTCAAGTGGAGTTTAGTTAAATCTTCTTATGCTTTTAGTTCTTGCAAGTTTATATTCTTATGGGATTGTTCAAGAACTTGACAGATACTCTACCTTCGATGCAGCCAACAAGGTGATGGATTGTCTAGTATTTAATTCTGCTATTTAGATTGATTTTTTAGGAATTACATGTTCACCCCCTCTAAGAAACATAAAAGTTCTCTCACATATATATGGACAATGTCATACCTTTTCATTTATTCGAGTTTTCTCTACTGATTTATGCATTTCACAAACAACCAAGTTATAGGATGGAAAATCAATTATAGCAAAGTGCATAGGATCTCAACACAACTCACAATGCACCACTATTCTAACTGCCTAGGTCACACAATTGAACTTGTGTACCATCTAGCATCAACCTTATGAACGATTAGGAAGCTTGAAAGAATCCCAAAAATGCTACAAAAGTGCCACACAAAAACATGGAAAAGTGAGAATGAGCATCCAAGCCAGGCACCAAATTAAAGGACTCATGATAGGTAGACAAGTGCATTTACGCTTCAAGCAAAGTTCGACTACATTGGAATGATGACCATCCACACCGCATATGTGGTTTTAAGACAAAATTTCGCAACCTTGCATTCTTGATGCTTGTCAAAGCTTGTCTTCATTCTTGCTTCCACCCTAAGTCTCTCAATATTGAAGCGTGTCACCTTGTTCTTTGATAGTCCATGTTGGCAACTACCATGCTCTCCGCTCTCGGGTTGCCTTTCCACTTCCATTGACTACTTGACCGCTTTTGACTTCAACACCATCATCATGTATTCAAGTTTCCATGTCTCTTGTACACCCATGTGTGTATCGTGTGGATCAATCATGACTTCACTTGGCTTGAGCATTCCATGTGATGGTTTGTTTTTACCAACAAATAGGCAATCATCAAGGTTATACTACTTTATCGACTAAGGATTTATTGGTAATTATCTACTTTTAGCGATCGATGTGGACCTACGCATCAATACATCATGTGTCATAACACCATACGCAAGTCCTAACTGAATGAGCATGCATGCACCAATAACACATAGTCGCCATATAGAAACCAAACCTATTCTACAAGCTTTCATAAGGGCGCTTCTATCCATCACACCATAACCCATTTTGCTCAACTATGCATAAATCATCCCAAAAGCACGCATGCACATGTAGATTAGATCATCAAATAAACAAGTGCTCCGATCCCTCCATTCATAAAAGAATGCACTCCTCGCTTTTCGAGAAGTCAAATGATTTGAAGTTTGACCAAAGTTATGTAAAAAATATTATAACATTTATGATACAATATAAGTACCAATAAATTAATTATGAAATATATATCTCTAGTAAACCTAGCTGGAGACATAAATGTTATTAATATTCGCTATAAACTCAGCCAAAGTCAACTAGTTTGATTGACCCCAAATTCTATAGTTCCATTCTTTTTGTGAATAGAGGGAGTACAAGCATTTAGCAACTCATTTGTTACTACCATTATATTATAAATGATGGTGAGGGTCGCCAGCCTACTAATTCAATGCCTTGAACAAACCATGACACATGATTTGCATGCACGTATGGTCCAGAGACTCGCTCTACGGATGACCATAGCACAGCAAAAACGTATTGCAGCATGTATATGCACTGGAAAAAAATGCTTTCATAGCACAGTAACACTGTTATTAATATTCACTGTATGATCAGACTGTGTACTGCCCACCTCTCACTGCAGCACCGTCAGATCAAAGATAATGGTGCGGCCTACATGAGCCTGTCGGATGATTTAAATTATTGCATTGATGGACCATATGGTCCATGCATGCCCATGCGTATGCATCCTTGTGTAAGTGTGGTGGCGTGTCTGAATTTAGGTCTGTTGGCCTAGTATATTTGGATCTGATCTGAACATGTATGCCTACTGTAGCAATTTAAAAAAAAGATATGTGACGACTCTGACTCACTTCCTTCACTCTCCGGACTGGATTGCGTGCGTCGTTTGCATACTACAACTCACATGGATGGCCATGGCCGCCCCCAAGTTTGGGTGGTTGGTTGCATGTTACTTGAGACTGTGTATGTGAGCTGCCTCACTTGTTTTCTGCATGTTTCTTTGGTCCACTTGCTTGTTGCTGCTGGGGTAGAAGGTTCTGATTCAGCCACATTGCCAACTGCACATTGGTGCATGGTCAGCATGGATGGAGATCATTGACAGGTTGGCATGGAGTGTGGTGGTTTGCAACTTAATGAAAAGCTCATTCTATTTTATTTATCAGTCAACAAATGCATTTCTTTAGGAACTCCATCTTATAGTAGCATCATCTTGTTCATCTGGAGTTAATTGTTTGTGGTTAAAAATCATCTCTATGTTTAGTGATATAAAAAAATAGAAGACAAATAAATTAAAAGAACCATGCTGGTTTCTTTAACCAAACATACAAGACAAACTGCATGGAAAAACTGCGGCTAGCCTACTGGGCTTGTACTATCCAACGCTCTCGTTTGAGCCGCCATCGGTTTGCTGGACGAATTCTTGCTTTCTTGGGCCAGCCTACTGGGCTTGTACTATATCAGGCCTTTGAATGAAAAAAGACATCAGAAGAATATGCCAACCCAAATGAGACGTCAACGTGTAGCAGCCGATTTTTTTAAGGGGCTCTTGCATTTGTACCCTGTTTTGTATCGAAATTGTGATTTTGCCCTATTTTTTTTTAACTTTGTGAATTTACCCCTACTGTGACATTCACGAAGCACCAGTTTGCCCCTGCTCCGTCATCCACCCCTAACGGTGTTAAACTTTGTACAAAAGGACATGAATGCCTATGCAATTTTACCTCTGTTTGTTATGCCTAATTGTGATTTTACCCTAATTTGGAATTAGACTTTTTTATTGTATGCTGACAATTGATTAAATTTAGTCAAACATATTTGGCACAACTTACAATTATTTGAACTCAGATTTAATATTGATAAATATTCAAAATTTTGGGACCAAAAGGTTCATAATGATGACAGATGTAACTCCATAAGAAATATTTCGATATAATCTTTTGTGTGGGACCAAAAATCTTCAATGTATAAGAATGCATGTAGAACATCGGTTAACAAAATGTATAAGTAGATGCATACACTGTTAACCTTCATACAGTACATGTTTTTTCAGCAAAAGTAACCGCCATACAAGTTGGTTCATGTAACACTACAAGCACTAAAACTACACCATGTATTTACTAACCAAGCTGGAAAAGAGAATGACATGAATCAGTTGTTGCTGTTGCATCCTTCATAAAGAAAGGAGCCGGGCTGGAACACACTCTCTGGAGCCTCTGGCTGTGCTCGTCCAAGTGGAAAGAGAAATCCAGCACGTCTGGGCTCTCCTTGGATGGCCGAACCACATGCCGCTAAGGAATGTCCAAGTTCAGGCCGACGACCCCCTTCTGGCGAGGGTGCTTGTACCCTGTGCCCAACCCATTCTGCCTCAGCTCGGCGCCACTACTGAACTGCTCGATGAACGCACCATACTGCTCCCTGCCGGAGCTGGACCTGACGATGGACTGCAAGAACCTGGTGCACCGCACCCACGAGTAGTCCTCGTCATCCATCTCCTCAAAACCTCCGGCCAAACGGATCCCTGGTACAGTAGATTAACAACTCGCAGCAAGAACTGAATAAAGGGGACCTAGATGAGGCAGGCGCCAGCAGGACGAGCACTAGCTGACACTAGAGCTCCGCCCAGTCCACCAGGTAGGCACCGCATTTGATCCCTTCCAGAGGGACAGGAAATCCCCCAAACTCGACTGCTCCAATCCGACGCGCCATCCGCCGATCAGAGCCCCTCAAGGGAAAACTACAACATTGATCTACTCAAAGGAAAATCACAGCATACTACTTCAGTGATCCAATACTCAAAGGACCAAAGACTTGCGAACAGCCTCACGCCCTAGTAATCGATGTTCCTGAAAGGTCAACATATTGCCTATCATTAGTGACATCAATTTTGCCTATCATTAGTGACATCAATTTTGAGATGGCTCAAACAGAAAGATACGCAGAAGTTTGAAAGAAACCACAAGCATGTTACCTTACAGCCAACTATGTCCAGTAGAGATTGGTCTGAAAATGGATGCTCAAACACTCCAGAAATAAACTTAACCCTCAGAATTTCTGATACAATGATGCAAGGGATCCTTGGGTCACTAATTCAAGGAAGATGTAAAGCTTTGAATCTTCCTGCAATAGTAACACAGTTGGAGGGTCATCAATCTAATAGCCTAAGCATGCATACAAGGGGCATGAGATGGCCTATGAGATGGCTCACATGTACAGATGTACTTGTCCTAAATAACCTTTCAACCTATCATGAACTGTGCCATTGAAGTTGAAGAACACGGGACATGCAATTCATGATAGGATGGGAAATTGCCAGTAATAGATTAAATCTCTCGTACTATCAAGAAAAAAATAGTGAAACGAACCTGCTCAAGCTGAAAGATACACTGCTTCGCATTGCTCCCTTGATCAAATAAGTTTACTTCTTTGACAGCAAAGAAGACACCCTCACTGATAATATGACACAGAAGCAGAAAAGCATGTAAGAGACTGGGCTCAGGCTTGCAACAGGAAAAAACTAGAGCAGGCTATAAATAGTGAAGGCAACCATCCCTATTGCATATTGGGAGAAAAAAAAGGACAAATGCTGAATTGCTTCATCTAGGACATTCCCGTTCGGTGAGATATAGAACATGGATTCTGTGGTGGTGCTTGAGGTCTCGTCATCGTTGGTCGTTGATAGCGAAGAAGTACCAGTGAAGCCCTCGGACGACTCCTCCAGCCCAAGATCGTCCAACATTAACAATACCGCCCCATCCTCGTCGTCATCCTTCTCCACTGCATCCCAGTGTCCAAAACGACGGCCAGATCTGCTCGCGGGGGCATCCTCTTTCTCATCCGGCCCGAACGACCGCAAGATATCCCACGTGGATCCGACGCCGCAGACAGCTGGCAGCGCCATCGAAGGCGGCGGCTTGAGCACCGGCGGCGGGCGCACGCCCTTGATTCCTCCCTCCCCAGCTGCCCTCCTCGCATCCGGAAAGGTGGACTCGGGCGGCGGATCCAGGCGCGCCGACCGCTCCGGAGCTTCGATTGGGCCGTCCCTTCCCGTTGCGGCCGGTAGCTCTGTGTCGGCGTCCGCAGCCTGGGCGGGCTCCTCGGCACCCACCTGACAGAGCAGTGAGTCCCGCTGAGGGGAGTCATGGTTGGGGCGTGCGGAGGAGGGGGAGCTCGAAGCGGAGGTGGACGAGCGAATGGCCTTGTGCGCCTCCCAGTCAGCCAGCGGGATGGCAAAGTCGTCGGGCCCGGAGAGGCCGAGGCTTTCGCACAGGAAGCGGAGGTCCCCGCCCCCGTCGCCGCTGCCGTCGATGCGGAAGCTGTTGACGAGGTCAAGGGAGCAGGCGACGGAGGCGGCGAGCGAGGTTGGCCCGGACCCCGGCGCGGAGGCGGGCTGCGGGGACGGCGGGTACTAGCAGTAGTTGGGGGCGTTGTAGCCGATGTTCTTGGACGCGTTGCGGCGGTCGAGCTGGCGGAGGAGGCGCCTGGAGGAGCCGAAGCCGCTGCCGCCAGACGGCGACGGCGCGGGGTCCTGCGCGGCGTGGGGCGGGCCCATCGGCGGCGGCCTCAGCTCATGGGCGCCCTGGAAGACGCGGGGGAGAGGACCGCGCCGAAAGCGAGAGCTCGGTTTGGGATGATGAGATAAGATAAGGGGCACTATGGTTATTTGGCCTTTGTTTTTCAGATTTAGAATTTTTTTTTAATTCATTTAATCCATGTGTATCCGACGGACGTCAGAAGCAGGGGCAAACGGACCGTTCAGTTCAAAATAATAGGGGTAAAAATACAAAGTTGAAAAAGAAAGGGCAAAATCACAATTAGCTTACTGGACAGGGGTAAGAACACCATTTTCCCATTTTTTTTATAGCACTGACTGTGTGCGTCTCCCGTGTACACTCTAAGAAGAACAAATGCTCTCCTTGTCCCTAAAAAAAATGCTCTCCTTTCAATTAAGGAACCATATCTTCTGTGATAATGCTCTTGTGAGGACGTCCATCAAGACGAATCTGTCTGGACGCCCCATCCCGGGCCTATGCAGCGATCGGGCCAAATAGTTCTGCTCCGCTCCACCTTTAGCACGGTTTCTCCAAAAAGAAAAAAAAGACAGCGACATTTCCTTTCTCACCGCAGCACGCATGCGATCTTTTCCCCACTGCTGCACGCATGCGCTGCCATGGGTGCCTCCATCGCGGGATACGCTCGCCGCGGCCTTCTCCAACGTGGTGGCGCCACACCTAGCCCATCCCGCGCAGCTCCACGCCCAGCACCCCGTCACAATCCTGTGTTGCACCCCTATCCACCTCGTTTGTCGCAGCCATGGCGTGCACCGTGACTGGCCGAAGACACCACGACAGAAAAGGGGAGGCTGCGCTACCGGGTGTATCTTTGGGTCGTTGCTTCGGCGTCCCCTCGAACCCGAGCTTGTTGGTACCGCAGCTCCCCACCGGGGGACGTGGCGTGCCGCGGCGACGCTATATTTCAAGTGTTTCAGGTGTTTCAGACGCTATGTTTCAAGTGTTTCATCTGGATGCTTCAGATGTTTCAGACGTATGTTTCAAGTGCTTCATCTAGATGTTGCATATGTTGCTTTGGCTCTACCGCATGTTTTGAGCATATGTTTCAAGTGTTTCAGATGTTTCAGACTTATGTTGCAAGTGTTTCATCTGGATGTTGCAAAAGTAGATCTGGATGTTGCAATGCCTATACACGCATGTTTCAAGCGCATGTTTCAAGTGTTTCATCTGTTTCAGACGTATGTTGCAAATGTTTTATCCGAATGTTTTAAAAATAGATCTGGTGTTGCACGGCGCCGGTGGCCAACGGACAGCGGCCTGCCACAACCGCTGCTGTGGCGCGCCATGGGTCACCATATGGGTGCCCGAGGATGGTAGTAGCCTCCGCGATGCGCGTCCGCAGGCAGGGCATGTGAATGGGACCCACGTGGGTTTCGTTGTGCGAGCGCGAGGGAGGGGGTCCTGCATCTAGACGCGGGAGCTGGCACTGGGCGGGATGTAGACGTGCGGGGCATGGGACAGGATGTGGGCGCGAGCTCGGGAGCTGCGTTCGGACGCGACGTCCATTCGGACATCCGGGCGCTAGCCCTTCAGTATCTTCGGTCACATGGAATTCTGTCATTTGCACTGCTTTGTTTGTTATGCCTAGTTTCTTTTTGCCCACCCTTCCAGCTCAACATCAGTTGACATCAATAAGACTTGCTAGAAAAGTATTTGAAATTTCAAAAGAAACCAAGGGATATACGGGGACACAATAGAAAAATCACTAGAAATAACATGCTAAAATGTTTCCTCAATTTGAAACTCCTATGAAAACTAAAATTTTTGTTTAGTTATCTCGTTTTTCAATCCTACACCAGTTTAATTCTGGTATCTAACTCAATATTTTCTTAAGGTTTCTATGAATTTTTTTGTATGTTACTTGATGGTTCAATGCTCGTTGACCGGATGGGATTGTAGAAAGGAAATTAAAAAAAGGCATAGCAGTGGTAAAAGAGAGAACGCGAGTTCTTTTATTGGCGAAATGACAAATTTTCTAGTTAGTAATCCTCAGAGGCAGTTCTTAGTTTCACTTTTTCTTGAAGACAAATGTACTACCACCTCCGTCCCAAAACTAATTAATTGTTAGAATCACCTTAAGTCAAATTACCTTAAGTTAGGGTAACATTATCTAGGCCATGGGTCAATATATTATTAAAATATATTTTGTGATCTATTTAGTGATACTAATTTAGTGTTATAAATATTGGTGTTCTTTTCTTAAAGTTTGTCCAACTTAAAATAGTTGGATTAGGACAACTGTAAAGGAAGGAGTAGTTTGCAAATATGATAAAGATGTAGAGCATGACAGGATCGATGAGAAAAGAAGTTGTATGCATTTAGTTCGATTCCACACCGTTTGGTCGGCCGTCAAACAAAAGAATAAGTACGGAGTATTTGAATCCTTATATATAATACACAAACACACATACACCCAAAAAACTGTGCCATGTCCCACACATATATATGCAAAAACAATCCAAGAATAGCAAGAGAGAGGTACATCAAAATTCATATATATCTCATTGAAAAACTGGAAAGGGGAGGTTACACAAAACCTCGCAGGATCTCATCATCAATCAAAAAGGAAAAGTTCTCTCAACCCAACCACCCGTTGTGATCGGACGGTCCAGATAGGTTCCTCATATCTTACGATTAGTGAACGCACTCTATAGCCTACCCATGCATATATATGAACGACATCAGTGTATATACGTATACGTACTTAGCTCTTAATTTAAGACAGACACCCCACACACACACACACACACAGTAGGATCGGAGTATTTAATTAGTTGCATGCATGGAAATAAGGTGCAAAATTCGGGGGGTTACGTTACGTTCCAGCTGCTAGCAAAATTCAGAGCCATATGGCGCCGGGGCACGAGCTTGCCGGCGAGGTGCAGCGATATGATCTTGTCGGTGGAGCCGACGAGCCTGCCGCCGATGAAGAAGGCGGGGACGGGCGGCGGGCGAGCTCCCGCTCCATCTCACGGCCGCGCGGGTCCTTGTCGAGCTCGTGCACCGCCGCGCACACCCCCAGCTCGGAGAGGAGGCTCGTCACCGTGTGGCACATCGGGCACTGGCTCGTCGTGAAGATCACCGCCGCCTTCTCCGTCGACAGTCTCGACACCCTCTCCGCCATCGGGCACTGGCACGACAGTCTATCGAGCTGGATATCTAGCGAACAATGAGCTAGCCTGCTCGCTCTAGCTAGTGCTGAAGTGTTTGTGGGCTAGCTAGCTGTGTGCTTTGTTGTTGCGAGTGCAGGGTGGGATCGATGCCCTTTTTATAGTGTTCATCCAATAGAGGATGAGGAGAACAGTGGGTGCTTGTATGAGATATGTATCGATAGGGAGGACAGAGATTCGGAGATAGAGATCTAGAGAGAGAGAGAGATGTGGCCTGTGGGCATAAAGAATCTTCGACGTGTGGATTGCACGCTCAAAATGAGCAGTGCTATAGAGCATAATCATATCCCTGTCGTTTAGCTCCTTTTCATTTTTTTTTCTTCAGAAGAAATTCTCCTTTTTTTCATTATTTTTTGTATTGTATTCTCATGGCGGGTCAGGTCTGAATCCCAGCTACTCTCCCAGTCACCTGCCCGAAAGCAAAAGCACTGAGAGAGTCTATGAGGAGGGAATGGGATCTACCGCCTGAAGAAACAATATAGTTAAGTGATCAAGATTGGCTACTTAATCCTTGAGCATTGTGGGAAGCCAAATTAAACATGAAGGAGCTCCCATGTCGATTGAGGGTTCTGTACGTATTTCTGGTTAGCTATCAGCAAAGTTTGGTGGAAGGCCGGCAACAGATACCAAGTGATAGAAAAGGAAAGGCAGGAGTGAATACCATCCCACTGAATCACAAGTCTAGTGCATAGGGAGATCGGTTGCAATATCGGTGGCAACCACCACAACCTGTGCATGTGAAAGTAAATGCTGATGCGGGCCTTAGCGATAGTCATGCTGGTTGCAAATTGCAGTTTTATTTGCTTCAAGCCAAATTCTCTTTCATTGTTCTGATCCTGAAGTAGCTGAACTTATGGTGCTGACGGAGGGGTTGGGATTCGCGATTCAATGGATTGATTTACCTGTTGTCTAGAGATAAAAAAGGATTTACCTGTTGTCTTGGAGACTGACTGCCAGTCAATTTGCAAAGCTCTAATCTCTAATGAAGACAATCGATCCAAATTTGTAGTACAACCGAAATAGGCTAAGTTGCTTGGTGATGAGCTTAGAGAGGTTGAGTTTGTCCACTGTAATAGAATGTGTAATATGGTTGCTCATGAATTAGGCCAACATGCTTGTGAACATCTCTGTTCGACTGTATGGATCAAGAAAGCACCAGACTTTGTTGTCCATTTAGTACCGTAACCCTGTTTATCTCTATAATATAAAGCTCAACCTTTCCCTGCAAAAAAAGAAAAATGAAGACGATTAAAAAATTATCTGTTTAAGAGTGCTGAGCAGATCTCATTAGCCTATCTCCCAATCTCTTTCCTGGCAGCCAATTAGGAGAGACGATGGCACGAGCGTTTTTATGAGGGACATACAAATCTTTTCCCTAACACTTCATCTGTAATAACAAATACAAAACATCTTGGGCATGCTAATGCTAACATATATACGTACATGAACGGAATGAGTAATTAACATTCTTGAAATATAGAGTGATGAAATCCAAAAATGGGGACCATGAGGTGGTAAGTTGCAATTCAATTAATCACTCTAGTGTTCTGTTTTGTTTACCCATCCTGACCATTTTGGTATAAATTTAGCTACCAAGATTTCACACACTAAAATAATAATTAACAGACACTCTTCATTAGTCAGATCAATCACTCGGATATTATATAGTGCATGCGAATCCAGTTCTTATCTTATAAAATATTAATAGGCTCCTAACATGAAAACCAACATATAATAATTAAACTGTTACATCATGTGATCACCATAGTCTACATGCAGGCATCAGAGACGCATAGTTCTCCTACATATGCATGTGTCCACGTCCATTTGATAAAGTTGCTAACGGATCGGACGACATGCGCGTACTCTGGATAATGTTTGGAACAGCTAGCTTCAAGTGGGGTCTAGCAAGATATAGGGAGGATATTTAGATATTTATTATAATTTACTTGGCTTCAACTTGTGCAAAAATAGGGAATCTTTTCAAAGCTTTAAAGATCCCCAAGTTTATGATAAGGTTTAAACAATCAGCCAATACTTTTTTCAAGACCAGGGCCACATACTTCGGCATTGGATGCTATGTATGTCAATATATATATGGTTCACTGGTTACTTCAGCAATATACTTGCATGAACCAATTTTAATTTACAAACACATCCTTGGCCCTTCCACTTGCACAGAGTTAATTGCCCACGTTTGGTGTGGCTTTAAATGGCTTCGGCTCATAGGTACAGTGCGTGGAGGAGCTGGAGCCGGTGAAGTAAAAAATAGTGCAACGTCTCATAGTTCATTTTGAGAGGAGATAAAAATGACTCCATGCTGTGTCAAAGTATGAGGTGCACATAAGGTCAAAATTGATCTGAGGTGTGCAAACTTCAATGTTTGAGTTGAATTAAATGGAACTATATTTGAAGTATATCCATTTTGTGAATGATGTGCTAGTCCCCCTTCTGAAAATTCTGTAGCAAGCGTATACACCAAAAATAAAAGCTAAATGCTGCTAAACCTGTGTCAAGCAATTTTTTTTGTTTTTCAGACCACTTTATGTATTATTAGAATTATTTTATAGTAATATGGAAGACAGAAGGTTTAATATTCCCTGCAAAACAATTGAATTTTTCATCTATCTCCACGAGCGATGATTGAATGGAACATATATGAGCCGACATATTGTTTTATGTAATTTTGAATTTTGTTGGGGGACACACAGTTCGAAATTTATTTTGATAGGCGCACATAAATTTATTTAAACTACAAAAATAGTGAATCATTACCAAAATTTCTGAAACTCCCGGACAACAACATATGACAAAGAACTTGATCAAGTAATAACACATATAACTCAACCTAATAATGTGCACTGTCTACTGCTAATATATGGATGTAATCCCATTAATTGAAAGGTCAACAAAAATATAGTTTCTAAGTGAAAAATACACAATAGACATATAGAAATAAAGATGAAACTTTTGCTAAGGTTTTAAATTTTATCTGGCCAACAATAATCGGCATATTTCAGAAAATGAAAGGAGACTGAACCATGGCCCATCATGTCGCTAAAAAAAACAATATTCAAAGTGAAGTGGGAAATAAATGATGTTCATATATTCTCATATGCTTATCTTAGAAAAGAAGGAAAACTACTCATCGTATGGCTTTCCAAAGTTGGAACGCCCAGTATGTTTAGTTGGGAGAATTTCATCTGCTTGGTTCCTGCCAATCCTATGAGCCATATACCATCCAAGGACAATAAAACCTTTCTCATGAATAAAATCTATTACTAACTTGTTCTCATCACAGTGTAGCATCAATTTCTACACGTGTATTAAGCCAGCTAACTTTTACAATTAACATCCTCGCAAAAATTAAAGAAATTTCAATTCATATATATATCTTAATTAGAACGAGGGTGGGATTTCATCTTGTTTCAATTTTGTAGGTACAAAATAGTGGAAAACTAATTTAAACTAAAGCACAACAAGAACAGAAGATAAAGTGAGAATGACATCCACCAAGGAGTGAAGCATGAATTCGATCGTACTCGCACGTAACGATGAGACAGATGTACATCAATCGGAGTATTTGTACCACTTCGCCATCACTGCCCTGCCCCTAGAGCAAACCAGTCGTTGCATGTACAAGAATAGAATCAATAAATATATATGGGATTCCACAAGAAAGATATATTTTTTGCTTAAAGAAAACGCAAATATAAAAGTCAGAACAAAAGTGATTCCACTGGGAGCCCTACCTACCATGCATATGCAGAGAGGAATTTGTGCTATTACTCTCGTTGCTTGTTGCAATGTGGCGCCCAACAAAAGTGATTCCAGTCGTTGCTTAGCTGCCTTGCAAATCTGATCTTCACGTATGTAGTACATCCTGTTGTGGTTTTGGAATCTAGAAAGATATAAAGGCATGCATTGATGCAAATCAAAAGATAAAGAATAATAGTCACCAATGCCTCTAGCTAAAGAATAGGCATCTCTCTCCCTCGTCACTGTTACCTCACCGGCCAGGCCAGTGCGCAAACGTACAGTGATTTGTGTGATGCCGCGATCCGAAACCGATTGCGTGCAATCTATAATACATATCCATCTGTCGCTACTAGATCTATCTAAGTTGTACTAGTTGCATACATGCAGATCAACTATTTTATAGAGTTTCAAAGGCAGCATACCTCATCACGTTGTCTGGCTGGCTTTCAACCAGTTGAGTAATCGACAAGTGGTGGTCCAAATCCATCCTTAGCGATAGTTAAGTACATACGTAGCCCCTTTTTTTTCCAAATGGCACCGTCGTTATTACATTCTTTTTGTTAAATATTCATAAAATCACGCGAACTTTTATTTGACAAAGATTCTATTTATTTTAAATTGTGACTTGTGAAAATGGGTAGCTATGATTCATAGCTAGTGGGTACATATAATCATTATCATCTGGCCCAACATAACACAAAGATCAATATTATGCCACTGAACTTTAGTTCCATTTGAGAGAAGTACTTTAAAACAATGTGATTAGAAACCACACAAGAGAATAAAGACTACGCACCCACCCATTAATTAACTGTTCATGGTTTATAAATAAATAAGTAAATTGTACATTTCTGGATAGTACGTAGTATTATCCTTTATTTTTATTCTAGACTTTCTAAATTTGTTTTAGTTCACTTTGATGGCACCATATCAGATTAGTCGGTCCCTCTGGTCATAATGGAAAGTTCTGTTGTTCTTAGCAAAAAGGTACGGTGTATCAAGAATAAGATAATTGGAGATATGTTCCATAATGCAGAACCTGATGGCAAACAACAATATAAGAACCTATTTAGCTTAACTTTACCAACTTTATTTTTTGAAAAAAACTAATCTGGCTAATCTTACTATTACTAATAGGAGGATATCCATGTTAATCAGTCATCACGAGATGTGACAAAAAGAGGAAATCCTAGAA